GTGAGTTTCAGGGAGATGCAAGCGGAAGTTACAACGACGACTCTTGTGAAGAAGAAAGCCTAAGCAACTGTTATGGTGCCCAGTGGGATGTATTCCAGAAACAAGATATTTCTAAACTTCTTGAGTATCTTAAGAACCACTCTCAAGAGCTAGAATGCATGGATTCAAGCAAAAAACAAGTAAGTTTTGGGTTGATGGTTTAAACGCTTATACAAGAGAACAATAATAGATGTTCACTTCATTATATGTCATTCTCCTTGCAGGTGAGTCATCCATTACTTGAGCAGAGTTACTATCTTGATGAGTATCACAAAGCAAGGCTTAAGGAGGAGTTTGGTAAGTATCATATCCTCGTTTCTTCTATCCTTCCATTGCGTTGAGACTGGAACAAACACTCGGTGTTTTTCTATTGTTTTTCATGCCACTCGTTCTGTTTCTTCAGATATTGAACCATGGAGTTTTGATCAATGTGTCGGGGAAGCAGTCATTGTCCCTTCTGGATGTCCATACCAAATCAGAAAGAATAAGGTATTTACTTACAGCACCCAACACACTATTACCTTGATTATAATAGCTAAGTTATTATTATCTTTTAATATACTTTTGCACATTTTTGCTAGTCTTGCGTAAATGCGGTTCTAAATTTTCTTTCACCTGAGCACGTTAACGAATCTATCAAACGAGTGGACGAGCTTAATCAACTTCCTCAGAGCGTCAAAACGAAAGCAAAGAAGATTGAGGTAAGTTCCCGTAGTTCTTTTCTTTCTAAAATTGAATAAAACAGCAAGTGGTGCTTATGTATATTTATTGCTGTAAAATCCAGGTGAAGAAAATGGCGATTTATAAAATCAGCGAAGCTGTAAAGGAAATCCGGGAACTTACATCTTCAGATTCATCCGCTGCATCGAGATTATAATTAGAATCAGAGGTACCAGTCTTGATTCTTGACCATTCAGAATTACACATTTCTTCTTAGAAAGATTTGATTGTTTGGTTACAGTTTCAAGGACTATTAGAGTGTAAAAATATATAGAAATAAACAAACAATAAGGAAGAGAAACGAAAAGGATTCAATTGTTGGGTTACATTTTCCATTCAGATTGTTGATGGGTGATTAGTAATAAAAAAAGCATTGATATTAATCTTGAAACTGAAAGATATCTTGTTCTTACAAAAGTTAATATTAACTATTTACATATGCTGGCCCTGTTATTAACAAAATCTATTGATATGTACACAATATATTTACAGTCATTTACTCGTTTGGGATCATTTTGTTCTAAGAACAATCTTGCCTTCTGCATCGTCGTGCATAATCGGTAAGACTATATCTGGAGGCTGAACCGTCCAGACTTTAGGATCCTGAAACTGATGTCCTAACTTAGCCAATTTATCAGCTGCTCGATTCCCTTCTCTGTAAACATGGCTCAACACGCAGTTGCTAAGCTCAGGCATAACCACATTGATGTAATTAGCATACTTTTTGGCCTCTTCACATCTCAATTTCCCTCTCTTGGCAATGATATCGACTATGTTCTTGGCGTCTCCTTCGAGCCATAGATCAGTCCACCCGTTCTCTAGAACCAGCTCGAGGCCTCTCCTGAGGGCTGCGAATTCAGCCACGGTGCTTGTGGCTTCCCCTATGGATTCTGAGTATCCGAGAAGGAACTCGGCTTTGTGGTTTCTGAATATCCCTCCAATGCTGGCTTGTCCTTTTCTTCTTGAACCGTCAAAGTTTAGCTTTGTCCATCCGATTTCGGGTTTCTTCCACACAACTTGGATAGGTTTTTTATGGTTGTTTCTGATTAACAATATGGTAGCTCGAGTTTGAAGCAACCCTTGGAATCTACCCATCTTTGAGAAAGCCAACATTATTAGGTTTTAAGTTGTTGATAACTTCTCACACAAAAGATTTGAAGTTTTTCTTTTTGCTCTAATCTTCATGAATGTTGCATAAGATGAGCATCATCATCATTGAAGTCTAAAGATTAAGAGTTGAGAAATGTTACGTAAGGGTTTTTGTTAGGGGAATGATGCTTGCAAGAAAAGCAAAGAATGGTCCTGAACTAAATTGAAAGGCAAGGAATATTTGGAGAATCTAGTAAAAAGTCAGGAATTGATCAATGAATGATTCAAAATGTGGAAGTTTTCAAGGAATGATTCTGTTTCAATGGAAGATTTAAGAAAGTTTTTAAAGAAGAAAATCTAAAACCTGAAAGACTACTTTTGTCGTATCCCTAAAATTACTAAGTGTCTCTCCTCAGTTTCAGGAGAATCTCTGTCTCTGGTTTAGAAACTTGCAAGCAAAGAAATAATGAAAACAGAGTTTCCCTACATTTTTTTTTGGAAGCTTTTGGTTTTTACTACATTAAGTGATGATTCATTTTGGTTCTATTTATAACATATCAATCAAACCATAAAGAAATGATTTCATAAGCGAGAACAGTTTATCACAAATAAAGATGCGAGTTATCGCTGAATACAACATTGGAGCTGAGTCTTTAGTGTTTCAAGAAACAGAGCATCGGATTTCAAGAACAATACGAGACACAGACATTGCTTAATACTTGTCCTGTTTCTGTTGTATTATACAAAATTGGATCTGAATTTTTGTCGTTGGTTACATGTAAGTTCTATCAAATCTTGATTCTGGATCCTTTACTGGAAAACAAACCTGAAGCTTTTCTCATATTCAAAGCTTAAAGATCCAATGCGGTCGTCTACCCCAAAACCGGAATTTCCAGATTCTCCGAACCGAAATTAAATAGGATCCTCAAACCGAAACCGATTTAAAGAGCCGAACCTTTTACCCCGGTTCATTGAGTTTCCGGTTCGGTTTATTTAGATTAAGTAAGTACTCGACGCACTCAAAATCGTCGGTTTTTTTTTTATCAAAAAAAAAAATCGTCGTTTTTTTGGTTTTTTGAATAGAATGTTAAATTTAGGGAAAATTTATTAAAAATACAAAAAAAAATTAATAATTTGAAAACTAAAAAAAATATTCTAAATTTAATGGTCTAAAAATTACCACATACCCATTTTTCATAACATTTTAATTTGTTTTTTTTATTATTCACCAAAAAAACCCTTAAATTTATTCAAACCCAAAAAAACCGTTTTATAATAATATTTTTAGGTCAAAATCTTCGTT